ATGGCAGCACACCAAACCCCAGCCGCATCTTGACTTGTTTACCAAATTTGAATAACACTTTACTTGATTTGTTTGGTTTTGACTGCTTCCCTTCCTTCCATATTCTTTTTCTTGTTTTCAGTCCGATTTGGTTTTTAATATGTTTTATAATTCAACTAGTATTATCTTAAATTTAAATTGTGGATCACCAGAATGAGAAATTCCAGGTATCCAATTTTGACCGCTGTAACAATCTCACGGATATGAATTGGATAATTATGTAATTCTAATAAAAGTAATACTACACTTACACATACAAGATATATGTACAAAATGATGTTTGGTTGCAAGAGTAAATGAACTGGGGATTCCCGATAACTTCGGGATGGGGAGAATACTATTCCCTGGGGGTGGCGGTGGGGGTGGGGATGGGTGTATCCCCATGGGATCCCGCCCAGACCTGTTCATATTTACAGAATAGGGGCTAGAACATATTTATCAACCAGTGAAAGTTTATTTGAGTAGTGAAACCTTTTCCAGTTCTAGAGGGAGTTCTTGATAAATTTTAAGAGGTTTCCATAAGAAATCAATCTCTTAGTCTCATGAGATTGTAACACCTTTTAAAAACATTGGGTGTCAACAGTATTAAAAAGTTCTTTGGGTTTAATTCGAATATTAATGGTGAGGTCAAGCTGAATACACTATCTTATCCTCATCCTTGAATTCTGGATCTTGGTCCTCAGCCCAAATGACATGGGGGCCATCTGTAATGTGGATTTTTTCATCCCAAGTCAGAAGGGAAAGTTAATCGAGAAAGGGGTGACATTGTTAATTTCTAAAACAAAGAAGGTGAAAAAAGCTTACCAAAGCCTAATTCATATATACCGTACGCCAAATATTCCTGTCTTCTTCATCCTTCTTACTCTCTTAACCTTGAAACAACAACAACAACAATGGCGGAAACCAAACAAAACATAGTGATGTTTCCCTACATGGGTCAAGGCCATATCATTCCTTTACTAGCATTAGCCCTTCGCATAGAGAAAACAAACAAATACACCATAACTTTTGTTAACACCCCTTTGAATATCAAGAAACTCACCTCATCTCTCCCTCCAAACTCCTCCATTCATCTTCTTGAACTCCCCTTTAATAGCTCAGATCACGGCCTCCCTCCTGACGCTGAAAACATGGATTCTCTTCCATATCATCAGTTCATCACTCTCTTTCAAGCTTCTATGTCTTTGAAACCCCATTTCAGGAAACTTGTCTCCAATCTTATCCATGAACAAAATGGAGAAAAACCAGTTTGCATCATCTCAGATATGTTTTTAGGATGGTGTAAAGAGATAGCTCAAGAGTTTGGAATATTTCATGCTATATTCATCAGTTGTAGTGCCTTTGGTTCTGCTTGTTACTACTCTTTGTGGCTAAATCTACCTCACCGGAACACGGATTCTGATGAATTTATGCTCCCGGATTTTCCTGAAGCTTCTACCTTTCATGTCACTCAGTTGTCAGAAGTTTTAAGAGTTGCGGATGCGAGTGACCCTACGACAGCGTTTCGAAGGAAAGAGCTGATTTCTCCCTGGAGTAAAGCTGATGGAATTTTGTTCAACACAGTAGAGGAGATTGACAAGCTTGGATTGATGTATTTTAGTAGAAAATTAGGCCGTCAGGTTTGGCCTATTGGGCCTGTTCTATTGGCTCCAGGAAGCCAAGCTCGAAGCAGAAGAGATTTCGGAATCTCCCCGGAGGAATGTAAAAAATGGCTTGACAAAAAACCTTCTTTTTCAGTTCTCTATGTGTCATTTGGATCACAGAACACTATATCTCCATCAAATATGATTCAAATGGCAATGGCTTTAGAAGCTTGTGGAAAATTTTTCATTTGGGTTGTTAGGCCACCATTAGGCTTTGACATAAACTCAGAATTTAAGGCGAATGAATGGCTGCCTGAAGGATTTGAAAAGAGAATCAAAGACTCGGGGCGTGGACTATTGGTTCATAAATGGGCACCCCAGGTGGAGATTTTATCTCATAAATCTTTATCTGCATTTTTGAGTCATTGTGGGTGGAACTCTTTGGTTGAAGCATTAAGTTATGGCGTGCCGATTCTTGGGTGGCCACTGGTGGCGGAGCAATTTTATAATGTGAAGTTGCTGGAGAAGGAGATTGGAGTTTGTGTGGAGGTTGCAAGAGGGAGGAGTTGTGAGGTTTTTCATGAGGAAATAGTGGCGAAAATTGAGATGGTGATGAATGAGAGTGAGAAAGGAAAGGAAATTAGGAAGAAAGCTTTGGAAGTGAAGGAGATAATTAAGAATGCTCTTAAAGATGAGGAGAATTTTATGGGTTCTTCCATGAAAGCCATGGATCAATTCTTGGATGCATGCATTAATGAGAAGAAGAAGATCCAACCATGAGGTCTTTTTTTTTTTTTTTTTAATTATCGTTTTAACGATCATGAATCTTTTGTATTCTCTTTCCTGATCTCTCCATGCAGAGTTTCCTTGTTTATTTTCTTGGCTTCAATTAATTTTCGGTTCTAATGGCAAAGGGTTACACCTATCAGTTAGTGTTCTTTGAGATTTAACAATGAATTATGATAAGATTTCACGAATACATGTGTACTTTTTTTGTTTAATAACCGAGAGTGTCCAAACCAATCTAATGACCACATCTTAACTAATCGTTCAGGATCTTGAAATTACCGGTCAAGTAAGAGTTCTAGTGACCACATTTATTAGCACGAGAGGTAAATTAAACCTAAGACCTCTTAAATAATCTACAAAAGAGTTCTAATTGACTACTCAACCATCTAATATCGGTGAATATATGTGTACTTCTATAAGAAAACGTTTAATATTTATTAATTCTAACCTTGAACTATATAAACCCCACATTCTTCATATTAAAAAAGAGTGAATCTCTAGAAAAGTGTTGTGAAAAAAAACTAATTTCCGGAACTCCAATTTTGACTAAACAATCAATAAATTCTAATAATGTAAAAATTCAATTTTTGAGGCTTAAAATTAATTTAATGGCCAGAAAAGCTTCAAAATGTTCATGCTTCTTGTAATCCAATCCACCAACTAAATTATAAATTTGTTGGATCTCGATAATCTCCTTCCTAATAAATAATTTTGGTTGCAGCCTCAAGTTCATGCTTATGTGGTTTATTTTAAGAAGAGAATCTTAGAATATGTCATTATTCATGTATTCATAAATTTATAAGGTTTGTGTTATTTAGTAATATTTACGTCAAAATTGGAAAGTATTAAAAAATATTTTAGAAAATAACAAATACTCTTATAAGCAAGAGGAATTTGATAGTTTCGAATAATTGTTAAAGTGTTTTGACTTAAGTATTTTTCTGGGACGTATGAAATTACCCTTAAATTTATAATTGACGTTCTAAGTTATCGCATCATTTTATCATACACAATATCCATGTGTAGGGCTGTCAGACAAGTTGAGCGGCTTGCGAGCCGGCTCGACTAGACTCGTCTGAAGCTCGTTAAGAGCTCGACTCGACTCGAACTCGATGGGGTGAGCGAGTTGAGTTTGAACAGGGGGAGGCTCGACTCATCAGCTCGCGAGCCTGGTGTGGCTCGAACTCGTCGTAGGGACCTTTAGGTTAGTTTTATAAACCATGCGGGGCAGATAAAAATTGCACTTTTAAAAAACTTCAAAAAACGACATTTACCCCCTAACTAAAAAATAGTAAAACATGACACTTTCTCCCCCAAATCAGTTTCCCCCAAATCGTAAACACTAACCAAACAAACCCTAAACCCCTCCACCGTGAATAAGCCAATTTCATCCCGCCTTAATGCCGTCACCGATCGAAAAATTAGTTGGAGAAACGATGACTCTATCCCACAAACATTGAAATGATTTCTTCACCCCCAAATCGATACAAACCGTAAACCCCCAAATTCTCTTCAACCCTCAAATATTCGGTCCACCATGAAAGTGACACCCCTAATCACGTGTTCTTGCTGTCGCCGATCGGAAATTGAAGGAAGAATTTGGTGAGTAAACCGTTTTTGTTAAAAATATTTCATGAGCTGGGAAGAATTTTAATATGTATCTCAGTGAGCTTTGAATCCATTTTGGTTTTCTTGAACGTTTAATTACTAACACATTGATGAATTGGGTCAATGCTAATAGTTCTTCATTTTCTGTTTCAAGAGCTCACGAGCCGACTCGAGTTCAAGCCCTTTTTTCTTGACTCGCACTCGAGCTCGATCCTGTAGCACACGAGCCAAGCTCATTAAACCGAAAACTCGATTCAGCTCGGCTCATCTACACCCCTATCCATGTGACATATACACGTGACCCACTAAAAAATTTTTTGCGTATAAAACTAGATAGCCTTTCATTTTCTTTTGACAAAGGGTATTTTTTTTTTTTTTTAAGTTTAGGAAATTGGAGCAACAGTTTCCAAAGAAGAGGATTGTAGATATGGCATGCACTGAAAGTAGATAATATTGTAATGTGAGTTAGTTTTTTCAACATTCTCTACCACTTAAAGACGACGGCATTCACTTGTTTCTCTCACTCCCCCAATTAATATCCGTATCTTGAAAAGTAAAGAGTTCCATTTTCAAGTTTTGGGATTGGAGGAATCTTTTTTCATTCCTCTCCCTCTCTCACTTTATAGAAAATAAAGTTTGAGAGAGAGCACCGAAAAGCATAGACACCTTATCATGAAAGCAAGAAAAAAACGACCGATGAGACGGGCCAACCCACACGCATATACTCACACTCACACAAACCCACACGCTCATTTACAATTATGAAATTATTTCTCTCTTTGTGTGTTCCCTCTATTCACATTTCTACTGCTTTCTTTATCACTCTCCCTCTGTGTTTAAGTTACGTGTCTCTTTCTCTTTTTCTTTCTTTCTTTCTTTCTTTTTTTTTTTTTTTGGACAATTATCATTTAAAGTTAATATGGAAACCCAAGTCAACCTCACCTCATCATTTGGTCTTGGTTCTTCTAAGCACCACCTCATATCCACTTTCTTTACTTTAACTCTTATTCATTTTCCTATATAATCACCACTCTCTATCGTTCAGTCCTTCACCATGGGAAGCATGAAGGTGCATCAGTTGGCACGTGGATTCTGGGAGCACGAACCATCCCTTACGCTTGGCTGCAAGCGTTTACGCCCTCTTGCTCCCAAGCTGGCAAACACAGACACTACTGTCACTGCTTTCGATCTCAAGACCTTCATTCGACCAGAAAGTGGTCCTAGAAAACTTGGATCTTCTGACGACAAGAGAAATTCTCCTCAGGTGATGACTCCATCTCAATTCTCCATTTTTCATACTTATCCCTTCATTATTTCATGTTCTCAGCATATTAGTTAACTACTGAAACATGCAACATCAAAAGAGATTCTATATACTATGAATAAAATAACTCAAAGCCAAAAGATATAAATTAAACATAAAATCTAGGAGTAAACTGAATAAACAAGTGATACAGCAGGTGGAAACGCACCCTGGAGGAACACGGTGGAATCCAACACAAGAACAAATAGGAATTCTGGAGATGCTGTATAGGGGAGGAATGCGAACTCCGAATGCACAACAAATAGAACAAATCACATCACAGCTAGGGAAGTACGGGAAGATAGAAGGAAAGAATGTGTTCTACTGGTTTCAAAACCACAAAGCCCGTGAGAGACAAAAACAGAAGCGAAATAGTCTTGGTATTAGTCATTGTCCGAGAACCCCAGCCGCCAGTTTTACCACTATATCTTTGGACTCTAGGGTATGTGGATCCACTCCCGTTTGCACTAGTTACTTCATGGTCTTGAAAATCATGTATTTACTAAAAGGTCTAAATTTATTATATATATATTTGCACAGCAGGGAAATCAAGTAGTACCAGAAAGAGATGGAGACAGTCCGTACAAGAGGAAGTGCAGGAGCTGGTCATTTGAATGTTTGGAAGAGGAAGGGGATAGAACTCTAGAGCTTTTCCCATTGCACCCGGAAGGCAGATGAAGGGGTTTGAATAAAATTTCATTGAACTTTGTTCCATTTTGTGATCTACTTTGATGTGCTTTTTCTTTCTTTCTTTGTTTCGGGAAAGAAGAAAGATAAGTTGTCTCTCTGTACTCTACTGATGTATTATTTCTGACTTAATTAGAACCAAAGCGGTTTGTCACTCTTTATTCCATCTCATCAGTCTGTGGTGGTGGGTGTGAAACGTGATCCTTTTGACTACAGGAAAACTTGATGAAATTGAGCTTTTAGGTTAAAAGCAGAGACCTATGGACACTGAAGTCCACGCACCTACTTCTTCTCCTTAAGCCTACCCTTTGATATTTTAAGTTTCAAATGGGAAAAGAGATGTGTCCTCTTCTCTCAAAGTATAATAAATTGCACTATTTCGAAGACTTTCATAAAGTAGCATATCAACTTCAACTATCAGGAGACATGCAATTGCTTTTTCTTCTCTTTGGGATTGACATGCAATTTCTTTTTTAGAATAAAAGGATCACCTAGTGTTATGTGGGGGCCGTTCATCAGCAGTTGCTCCAATAACTTTTAGGAGGGAAAAGATATATCAGCGAATTTCAAATTATTAATCATATGCTTCTATATAATATATATCATCTCGTGCATCAATTCATACTGAAATTAAATATATACTAGAGCTCATTATTGGATTTTGATTCACATCGCAACACCATGCTACTAGATATCTATCTACTTTTCTCCTTCCAAGTTCCAACTATACATTTAATCCTTTCACAGCATATACTACAAGAAAATTAATTTAGGAATAATATATACTTGGAAATTAAAACAGAATGTAGTTTCTCACTATATTGAATATAAGAAACTATCCTAAGTTAATGAGTGCAATAGTATCAGCGATGTCAACTCACTTACCATCAGTATATTCGCCGACAACACTAGTCGATTGGTCAGTTTTCAATTTTTGAAGGAGTAAACGACATGTTCCCACCCAAGGTTAAGCAAAATGTAAAGTTCCCACCCCTAGTTTTATAAATTCCAGATTCTCACTCTTAAATTAACATTGTTAATGAATTTAACAGTTAAGAATGTGTTATTACTGTACTACCCTTGACTTTTGATTTCAAGCACCCAGCCACCACCACCTTTCACCACCATCAATATCCAGCCACCACCACCCAACACCACAAACTCAGTCACAAAGCCACCCAAAACTCAACCACAATCACCATCACCACCTCTCTTTTCCAATCACACCAACCAACTACATCTGTGAAACCCAATCGCGCAATAGCCCTTCTCCCTACAAAAGCAAATCCCTTGGACTTTTCTCGAATACTTGGGGGGCAGTCGTAGAATACTTCAAAAATACCAACTTCAATCCATCAATCAACCTAAAAAAACCAATAATATGTAGTAAAAACAATCAAACACTCCAACAAATCAACTAGAAATCAAAATTCATACTTAATCTCCCACAAAAATCCAACAACCAACAATTTTCCAAAACACAACTACAATAACGACAATTCTGGAAATGGTCATCTGCGGCGAAGCAAAATGGCTGGAAGGGCAAAGGTCAGCAGCGGAGTGGTCATGGTAGTAGGTGGAGGCTATTGGATTTTGGTCGCCATAAGGCCATCACGCTGTGGCCAAATCTGGCCACTGTGTGATGGCCTTAAGGCGGCCAAATCCAGCCGCTGTGGAGCCTATTTCGAGAAGTAAGAAAAGTGAAGAAAAGGGAAGAAGAAAGGAAGTAGGAGGAAGAGACGAAGAAGGAGAGGAGGAGGAGAAGAAAAAGAAGAGGCGGCAATGGTAGGGTGATGTTAGCTGGATCTAGGAGAGAAATGAGGGAGGGAGAGGAGTGGGAAGGCTGTGGTATGGTTTTGAATGGTGTGTGTTCAAAGACTATTTTACCCTTTCTTCGTTTCATTCAACATTTTTCTGTTAATTTAAGGGTGGGAAAATATAATTTATAAAACGAGGGGTGAGAACTTGGTATTTCGCTTAACCTTGGGTGGGAACATGTTGTTTGCTCTTTTTAAAATTCTTAAACTCTTCGGATGCATTTGGATGGGGGGCATATAAGATAATGGGGGTAATTTTTGTTTATTTTGCAAGATTTTGGTGTTTGATTTGCAAGTAATAAAATATCATAGGAATTTTTTATTGTAACTAGTGTTTACCGTTGGTAATGTGGGGGGTAATCTGATACCCTCCTCCACCCCTGGGATTAAAACTTTACCGGGTAATTGATTTTTATACCTATTTTGCCCTTAATTAAAAACCATTTCGGACACAACTACCCTTAAATATCTACCAAATTAAATAAAAATTAGCCCAGCTCCCCTATAGTTGAGAAATTAGTTAAAACATCTCAGCCACAAAAAGTTTAAAAGTTAACAAAATACCCCTAACCACCCAAGGCCACTGCCAGCCGTTACTCACCACTGTTGGTTGTCGGTGTTAGTTATTGTAATGGTACACGACCGACGGGATCTGGCTAGTTTTGCGCCGTTAAGGCCTTTTCCAAGATCCATGGTCGGAAACGGCCAGATCTAGTTGTTTCTATAGTCGTTTCATGGCCGCAATTTAACGGCCAAAGATCTGGCCTTTTCACAACCACATCTTTGGTCGTGAAATGGCCATAGATCTGGCTATGAAACGGCCATGAATTTGAGATCCATGGCCAAAAATGGCTTTGTCGGCTCACAACCAACTATATACAGCCAATTATGCGTCATTCTGTTGACTGCTGACGACGGCTGGCGGTGGTGGCTGGCTACCGGCAATGGCTTGGGGTAGGTGGGGGTGATTTTGTTATAAATTAAAGTTTTATATAGTTGGGGTGTTTTAGCAAAATTTCAAATGTAGGGGGTTAAAAAAGATTATTCAAATAATAATAATAATAATAAATAATATTATATTAATATTTAAAAAGGAGGGCAATTTAGTAATCTATATAACATACCCACCTATTTACCTTCCTAAGCAAACATATTATTTACTAATTTATTCGAATCAGCCAAACACATTTTCTAAATATTCCTAGTAATCTTCAAGGTGATCTATTTTTCCGTTAATATAACATTCCCCTAAAAGGAAATATTATATGATCCAAACACCCCTTACAATTTAAAAAAAAATAAATTTTAATATGTTTAATATTAGAAAATAAAATTAATTAGAGGATATTATCTTGGTCTTTTTGGATTGGTCATATCTAATTCCCTAAAATAAAAAATAATTTTAAAATTAAGCAAAACAAACAATTCATAAATTATTTTTAAAGTTGATTATTTTAAAGGCCGAACCACATCCTTCCACCCGAAGTTTGCCCTAAAGACGATTTCATACCCAAAAAGTTTGAAAAAGACAATTAGCCACCAACCGTTAATTCTTTTCGTTAATTTGGTGAATTCTAAAACAGTCAAAGGGTACTCATGTCATTTTACCCCCTATATACAAAATAAAAAACCCTAACTCCTCCCATATTCTTTAGCTCGATGATGCACGTTAGCAAACGCTACCATCGACATTTTGGCCACTTTTATGGCTGTTTTTTCACCCAAAACCACCTCCATCCACCCTCCTGGCCCTCCCTCACTCAAACCCACCTAATGCCAACATCGGTGCACCCATTAATTGCCAAAATCTGGCCACTATTCTTCCTCGCGACTACCCATATTTGAGGTTGGATTTCAATCGATATTCATACAGGAAATCCATCATTCCGCCACCATTTGAATCCCCACCATGCCCTCTTTGAAACCCAACCTACTATTCCCTACCCCCCACACTCATCGTTTGTCGTGCACCACTCTATCTTTGCCCGCCCTTCAACTGTTTGTGAAAATTCCCCAACCAACCCAGCAAGTTGCCACTCTTTTGTTGATGATCCTAGGCTCTTTTGGAGTTTGTTGTTGATGAGTTGTTTACTTGTGTGGTTTTGTATTTTTCGGTCGTTGGCGCTCCTCAAGGCTCCCTCCTTCGACATTTTCTAGCATGCACACAACATGCTCGACAAAAGATCGTAATCAATGACCTCCATTTAATACTTTCTTTCTAGCTTGTATATGATAAGAGCTTGAAAATACACATTTAGTTAGTGGTTTTTGGGGGATTAATTGTGGGAAATTAGGCTTAATTTAGTAAAGTTGCTTAATATTTTCATAATTGTCTTTTACAAAATTACGGGTGTTTTTAAGTATTTTTCAGGTTACTAGTGCTTAAATGTTATGCTCGGATGAAGAATCATATTGGCAACGGAATGAGTGATGAGTGGAAACAAACGGATCAAGAATCGGAGTTGAATTGAAGAAGTTATGGAAGTTGATGTAAAGAGAAGATTCTAGAGTACGTCCCAGCTTGCACATGCCTCGGTATTTTGTGAATATCTTGTGCTTTAGAACTTGGATTAAAACGATTCTTAGACCGTTGGAAATATGATTCAAAGGGCTACATTTCATATGTTTACAACTTTTCCAAATTCCATCTTTATCGAGTTCAAAAATCAACATATTTAAAGAATAGTGGAATGATGTGGGAAAAGGGCAGCAGCTACTGTGCCACGGCACACTTTTTCCAGTAGCTACTGTGCCACAACACAATAATGGAAGTCATTAGTTTGTTGTCTGTTTTTAGCCAGGAGAATAGGGTTAAGGGTTCCAAATCAAATAGAATAAGGAAAAACAAACCCTAACCCTTGTGAGATATAAATAGAAGTCTTTTAGCATTATTTAAGGGATTCTTTGGTGAGAAGAAAGGGAGAGAAGAGAAGTAACAGGAATTCTGGAGCTTTGATCCACAATATAGAGAAGTTTTCCTTATTCTTTTCTTGTAAACTCATGGTGAATTTTTTAATAAAGATGATTGTTTCTTTCATGTTTATTATAAACTAATTCTCTTTTCTAGGGCTAAGATGTAGCCCAATTTATGAATATGTATTGACTTAAATTGTTGTTAATTCCTATTGAGCTTTTAATTCTAAGTTTTATTATTGTGCATAATGCTTTCAATTCTTAAGGGCCTGAGAGTTGATTGATATCATGGGTTGGGTTGAGATCGAGAGATGAAACTTAATTTGACTAAGGTAATAAAACCATAGATTAAGCAAACGCTAGAGATAGGTTACCGCGGTCTGTGAAGTTCTGGTAAATTCCATGGAACTTAATGATCTCTTAGTTTCTAAATCCGACTTAGAGATATCTTGGGTTGTTGCTTAAGGGTTAATTTGCTAATTGTTCGAGAGAAAGTTAATGGAATTTTAGGGAATTTGGCTTTTAGAATATGCTTAATTAGGTTAGCAATAATTGTCAATGCATAGGATTAAATTAGTATGAAATCTGTGCCCTAGGTTTAGTTATATTGATCTTGACTTCAAAGTGTTTACAAATTCTGCATTTGTTTTGTTTCTAGTTTATTACTTTTTCATTAAAGTCATTCTTAAAATTTTGTTTTATCAAATAGCAATAGAATAGACTAGTTTGGTACGTGGTAGGTAGTTCCCTTGGGATTCGACACTCGTTTACTCG